TCGCAATATGCTGCTGGGCTGGTATCCTACAAAACGGAGATAACCGGATTTAATACCTGCCACCTCCATAACATGGAGCTTAGCCAGGAGGCTACGGAATAACCATGTTCCTGAAGCTTTGCTGTCTGGGTTTGTCCACTCACGGACTATCATAAATTGGACCCCGAATCCCTAGCCGTCTGTCTTTCTACTATTCCTACAGGCAGAGGTTCGCCATAGCACAGCTTCATTGACCTAAAACACTAGTAGATACCGGGAATTATGCGGCTGCGAACAATAGACGTATAGCGCTTCCAGTCGGTGCCATATTTCCTCTTGCACTTCTCTTCATCACGTCCCTCTCGGTGAACGAGCAGGACACCGAAATAAAGCATGAAGAAGTAAGCGAAAATAATTCCCCACCCGCGGACTTCAGGAGTCTGTATGGCCTGCTTGTGTACGTCGCCAGCGCTGTTGATGCTTTCAATAATGGTGTAGCCAGCAACCCCGGTGGGCAATGAATATGACCACGACATCAGCCAATCGCCGAAGTAATTGATATGGCGCGCCAGTCCCCACCAGCCAGAAATCATCAGCTTGGAGCCACTAGACGTCTGGATGTATTTGACATGCTTTACGCGTGGGTCGTTGGGGTCCCTGCGGAAACGGTTCTTTTGATTGTTGGCGCCGCGGAAAATTGAGTACCCCGCACCGGTTACGGTCAAGATTAAAAGGATGCTTTTCAAGCCCAATTCCAAGGGGAAAACCGCAAGATACCTGGTTTGGAAATTGTAGACGAACGGTACCCATACCAGGTGTCCAAAGGAGAGCATATAACCGAATCCATCCATAATCACATCCATCGTGGTTAATACGGCTGGCTCCATATACAGCGCATCCAGAACATAGAAGGCTTGGAATACGGTACAGAGTATGATCGAGTTGGTAATGTAGCCGTACGTCCTGTATTGGCGGGCAATGTTGGACAAGTCCAATATGATCCATCCAAGCAGTCCTGGCCTCATCTCACACCATACATTGATATCAATCGTTCGTGAGGCCTCGTCGACAAAAGGAATAGGCAACTGCACCCGAGGGTTTAGCTCCCGGCCGATGAAGAAGTCATACAACGCATTTCCAGTGTGACCACCTGGTGCCAATTCTCTCAGGTCGGGGTTGAGTTGACCAGGCACAGGGACCGAAAAACTTCTCGCGTACACAAAGACGGCGATGGTCGTGCAAATCATCAAGTTTACGGTGATTACCTGCAAGTAGTTATCCCAGAGATAAGTCCATATGATGAAGTCAGCGCCGTACACGTATGTGCCCAGACCTAAACCAACGAGGATCAAAACGGCGGAAGAAAAGGCTATGATTCGGTCAGTCGATACCATATTAAAAACAATTTCAGGTTGATACCATTGAACTTGTAGCGAAGCCTTCCCTTGCAGGCCAATTCAGTGCCCTCGACAACCTTTCCTGGTAGAAAAACGTACAGAACCAGACTGAGTAGGTAATAGCTCAACACCCACAGGGCTACCCGAATATCAAAGAACGCTTTGAGGCCTTCTTGTGGCCAGCCAACCTCCTCCCTTAACTTGTCTAGGGACAATGTTGAGGGATTCAACAGCGACGGAGCAGGACAGCCGGACACATCGTTACACAGGAAGGTGAAGCCGTAGATAAGAGTTGAGAGGCCGAAAACGAATGCAAATGCGCCGAGACTGTTGAAGGTCAATGTCTTGGTTTCAAGCATGCGATAGTTGAGATAACATACGGGCCACCAAACTCATAGCCCCGTTTTTCCGGAACTGGCTGAACCGGGGTCTTAGCCATGGAATCCTTCCTCGGCGCCATTATGTGACTGAAATTGGGTGGGATATCTGTCAGTAAGAGGAAGTATTCGGGTGACGCAGGAGCGACAAAAGCTGTCGCAAGGACCGCGCGTATACCAGGAAACCACCGAGGAGGCAGGACAAAAAAGAGTGCTGTGGTAGTCTCAATGGCTCTGGAGTTGGGGTTTATAAATTGTATGGAGATTGGAGTGTATGGGGAAGATTCAAGGTGAGCCGGTGGTCTAAGCCGGAAGATTGGTGGCCGACGGGGGCCGCGGGCACCGAGGCCGTGACAAGTGCTACAGAACCATAATTTTTGGTATTGTTATCGGCACTGCAAGGTACTGCAGTACCCGGTTCTTGGCAATATTGGTACAGGATTGATTTCGGCTGGCGTACAATTATCTGAGGCTGAGGAAGACTGTCCCGATTGATATGTTAGGCTAATCGGCACAATGCCCGAAATTTGCAAGCTGTACAAACATACCAAACAGTGGCGCGGATCGGAATTCCCGGATTATAGTTTGCATTCGATAAGAGAGGCGAAATTTTGTTCTAATACAAACCATACAAACACAGGATCTAAGCCCGGGAGTTCCGAGTTGCCGCGCGTTTATTGGTTGAACCTCCTAATGAAAAGGCAAATCTTGCCTGATCCGTACGGTGCAAACTTACCAAACGGAAAAATCCAGATCACCTTTAGTTTGCGGTACGGATCATACTTTGAACACGTGAATTCAAGATATAAGTATGCCTCGATTCCCAGATGAGAAGATCTAGCAGGACACAACAAAAAATTCTACTTGAACGTCAAAAACTTTGCAATTAAAGGTAAATTTCCATCCCTCTCTACCCGTTTAAATCTCCCTAGAGGCGTCTTTAAATGAACCTAGATTGCAATCCACATTCCTTGGGTTCCGATCAAACTATCTGTTCAAGATCAAGTCATCGAGTGGTGTTTTTGTTTAAAGTTCATTGGGTGTTTACTGATTCTCGGTCTGCAGAAGTTTGACGAAGATAAGGGTCTTCCACATCCTACTATTTATCAGAACGGAATCACTACATGTGAGTGAAAATTGAAGTCAGTTTTCTGTTAAAAAAAAACTCACGTATCCCTCAAGCAACATAATGGCTCGCCCTCTTCTACAAAGGATGAATCGATTCGTTGAGTTCATCAATTCAGGCGATGAAACCATAGGACAAGAGGTAGTTTCCGAAGCAGCTGTGTTCCACGTTCCGTTTTCGGATACCCCACTGAAAGGATTGCCTGGATACATGCAAATTCTCGGCATGATGCGCTCCGCCTACCCAGATATCCAGTGGACACTTGACGATACAATCATCGAGGACGATAGAGTTGTAGCGCAGTTTACTCTGCGTGGAACTCACGAAGGCGAATTCTTTGGTTTTCCGGCTTCTGGAAAGAAAATCCAGGCACGAGCTATGAACATCTATCGATTCACAGATGGAATGATTGTGGAGGAGACTGGCTTGCCTGATCTGTTTGGGATAATGCTGCAAATTGGGGCTGTGAACCCGCCGGGTACTCATTAGGGAATTTCTAGGGCGCTTTGAGAATGTCACTCCGAGATTCAAAATTTATTACCGGTCTTTTAATACGTACTGTATGACGAAAGCTATACTATTGCAGTAGAAGATTAAACCGGTAGGCTAATATGGTTCTCAATTATACTTTCTATAGCTCTTGCTCCCTCACGCCGCTTTCATTCGTTATATAATTGAGCGTCTGCCCACAGCGTTACCATAGGTACGCTAATAGACATACAGGGCCTTGATCGTGTGTAGATATAAACGGCAGCCGGTTTCACGAGGATTACATGTTTCGGCCCCAATAGCTCAAAATAAGGGGACAGGATTCACAATATGCCCCTACGCCGGGAAACTACCGGAGCCCTTATGCTACACAGTCCGACTACAGTCCCTCACCGTCTATTTCGCTCGAAGATGAGCCCAACCCCGTAGGCCGACCTCAACCAAATACTATACCTCTGCTCCAGGAATCTGAGTAGGATGCGGACAAGATCTACGACGAGGATCCGCCAAGCTGTATCCACTACTTCATAAAATGGAGTTTCGTGTAAGATACGGTATTATACATAATGTGATCGTTTTGGAATGCCCAGAAACGAACGAAGTGAGAGAAAGGGAATTGAACACGGGATTTACGAGTGCGCGAGACGTTGCAAAAAGAGGTAGCTTAACTGTATATGGAGTGTTCTGCCACGCACGCTTCCCATTCGCCTTCGCAGCTCCGGGTGCCTGCCTTATTTTCGCTGGTTTTGGATTAGATAGTCTTGGCTTAGGGCTGTAGGGTTATTTGTGCATATTCATGCAGGTCGTGTTGCCTTGATTGCTTTATCATCTGCTTGTTGCCATCTATCCTATTGCAACACGGTGCATTCTATCGCCACAATGGTGCCCTCTTTGTGCGTTTAGTGCGTTTATTTATTCTACCGTTTGCCCCTCCCCTTAATTTTGTCTCGGTACCCTTGGTATGTTATCTAATCGAATTTGTTCTCGCTGTGGTCGTCAAGTACGCCTGTCTACGGCAATTCAATCACCAAAATGTCCTGCTTGTCGGTTTTTTCTGCTCCCCCTATACCGGAAACGCGCCTCTGCTTGCGTTGCCATGTGCCAATTCCCGCAGGCTCAGCAAATATTCGGTGCATGCGTTGTGAAGCTGTACGCTATCCTGAACCTCATTATACTCCATGCTATGACTGCCGAGTTACCTTTATGATTCGACCGGGTGTTATGCGCTGTCGTAGCTGTAGATAGAGGAGATCAAGTGTCGTGCAGCGTCCCCCTGATTTTCGCCAAACCACTGGTGTTTCCCTCGATCCTATTTTGAATACTTTAAATTCATTTCAACCGATAATTACTTCCATACAGACCCCTCAATCTAGGCGTCGGAGGTCTTTACCTCCAGCTCTAGCATTGGAAACACAGCCTTTGGTTCTCAATCGTGCACTGTATCATGGGATTCCGCAGCCCCTTAGCTCGCCTATTGACGAATTCATTTTTGCTTATCCTTGATATCTTGGTAGAGATGTTCAAGAAAATGACGAGGCCAATCTCTTCAGGTGATGCACATTAAAATAATATAGGATGGGAACTTAATATATGAAGTGGAAATTGCTTTGCAAACATGTCATATTCAAGTATCTAGCTTATAAATTCATTCGTGTTTCGGCCCTTCGTTTCCCATTCCAACAAAGTCTTAGAATAAGATAAAGTATTCGGATGGTTCAGACCAAGTATATGCTTCTGTTTGCTTAAACAAGCTCGTAGCAAATCAATGGCCTCAGTATCGTGAGCTGAAGACTTCCATATGAAAGCAAGATCGGCCATACTGGTCAGCGTGTCGGGATGGTCCTCGCCAAGCTTCGTCTTGCTTGTCTCCATCACTTTCAACCCAAGCTGCTCGGCCTCCTCCCACCGACCCTGGTCCCCGTATATCGATGCAAGGTTGGCCATACTCGCAAGCGTATCCGGATGATCCTCACCAAGGCTTGTCTTGCTTGTCTCCATCACCTTCAACCCAAGCTGCTCGGCCTCCTCCCACCGACCCTGGTCCTTGTATATCAATACCAGGTTTGCCATACTCGTCATCGTAGAGGGATGATCTTGGCCAAGGTTTGTCTTGCGAGCCGCTATCACCTGCACCGAAAGCTGCTCGGCCTCCTTCCACCGGCCCTGTTTCCGGTACGTTGCCGCCAGATTGGCCATACTCGTCAGCGTGGAGGGATGTTCTTGGCCAAGGTTTATCTTGCGAGCCTCTATCACCTGCACCGAAAGCTGCTCGGCCTCCTTCCACCGGCTCTGGCTCCGGTATGTCACTGCCAGATTGGCCATGCTCGTCAGCGTGTCCGGATGATCCTTGCCAAGCTCTATCTTGAGAGTCTCCATCACCTGCACCCCAAGCTGCTCAGCCTCCTCCAACCGGCCCTGTTCTCCATATGTTGCCGTCAAATCGGCTATAGTAGTCAGTGTAAAGGGATGGCCCTCTCCAAGCCTTGCCTTGCTCATCTCCATCACTCGTAGCCCAAGCTGCTCAGCCTCCTCCAGCCGGCCCTGATTTGCATACGTTGATGCCAAATTGGCCATACTCATAAGTGTATCGGGATCATCCTCGCCAAGCTTAGTCTTACGAGCCTCCATCGCCTGTACTCCAAGCTGCTCAGCCTCGTTCCACCGCCCCTGGTTCCGGTACGTCACCGCCAGATTGGCCATACTAGATAGCGTAAAGGGATGATCATCTCCGAGCTTTGCCCTGCTCGTCTTCATCACCTGGGTCTCAAGCTGCTCGGCCTCCTCCCACCAGCCCTGGTTCCGGCACATCGCTGCCAGATTGACAATACTCGTCAGGAATTCAGGATGATCGTCCCCGAGCTGAATATTGAGACTTTCCATAGCCTGTTACAGAAGGCAAGACGACAAAACTCACGAGTAATGTCTGTACACAATTTGTTCGATCACAGTAATCACTTGAGAAGATGAGCTGTTGACTGGATTGGGATTGAAAGATCTGCCACGTTACATTTACAGACTAGCACCAAGATGTGGATTAAGGAGAAGGATGACCGTATTAGGAATAGCATGTTTCGTAAGAGAGCTTCGAATACTTACATCATCTCTCGTATTGCGGGTATTAGTCATCTGGTAGGCTCCTTCTTCATTGGCCCTTTCGGATTTTTCAGTCACATTTCCGCTTCATTCAAACATTTCAAGGCTGCTTTTCGCTTTCAATTCCTATTTCCCCTGGCTTTCGTTTCAGGGCCGATGCGTGCAATGCGCGCGCCTTCCAGTTAAAAAAGATCTATACCTAGAAAAGGGTTATTTACGCCTTATCTTAATACGGATTAGCGTGGTTCCGAGTACATGCCGAGAAACAAAGCGTGAGTGTCTGGGGGGGAAATCTGTTTTCGAATGCTACTGTATGAGGAGTGCCATTGTTCAAAACATCCACTGGGCTTATAATGTGAAGTCCACTGCCGGCTGCGGAGCCAAGGCCACCGACCGGTGGCTCGAGACTGGAGAATTATTAAACTTCCCCTACAGTCAGACCAGCGTGCCGAAAGTGTCCCTCTGCGCTTTTCTCCCTCGCACCAACCACATCAATGCACCATTCGAGAAAGTTGTCAAATCCTTGCTCGGGATTATCTTCGTAGTACTGCCAATTACGCCGAATGAAGGCTTTTAGCTCGGCAAAGAGCTCCTCAATAGGATTCAAGTCTGGCGAGTATGGAGGCAAATACACTACTTTTACTCCGGCTTGAGAGCACATCTCTTCTATCCGGTCAGAATGATGGAAGGATGCGTTGTCCATGACTAGCACAGACTTCGGCTCAGGCCACCGTCCGCAGTGTTGGAGAAGCTGCTCAATAAAATTCTCAAAGACAGAGGCATCAGTCGAGCCTCGGAATACCCGAGAGAAAACGACACCGTCCTGAGCATACGCAGGTAATATCTGATATCGCTGATCACGATGGAATTTAGACACTTGGACTGGCGCGGTGCCTAGCGGAGACCAGCCTGTTCGTCTAAAGCCTATTCGTTTATCACAACCTGACTCATCCACATAGACAAGATGGTACGACTGGAAATCTGAGATAAAGTAAGAATATTCATCGCGTAGGTCTTGATTGCGTTCTCGAGCCTTAACTCGGATAGTCTTTTTTGACCAGCCTTTAGACGCAAGAGCGCGGCTGATACTTGATGTTGCTGCTTGGATAGCGAATTCGTCCCAGAGAAAAATTGCCATCTCATGGAGATAAAGGTTAGGTTTCTCGATCAGGTGTTCGCATAGAGCTTCTAGCATAATTGGAGTGACGCTTCGTGGTCGACCACCCTTATTTGGTGGAGCTTTGACGCTGCCGAAGATTCTTATATTGGAGGATATTCTCAGGATTGTTCTCCTATTGCAGCCAGCAGCACGTGCCATCTGTGATACAGACAGCTCTCCACTGTGGATCATGTCAGAGATAAGCTCATGCTTTGAGGGGGCTAAGTTTGGTGCCATGCCGGTGTGACCACTCAGAATGATGGTTGAGCTCTTCGTGTACCAAGAGATCATCTTTTGAGGTGGGGTAAAGAGGTGTCGGACGTAAAAAAGTACAAGCGAATACAACCCCACCCTAGCGGTAGGTACAGTGTGTAAGAAACAATACAGAACCCAGTGCCAAGGATACACGGATTAATTCCCGAATGGGATTTACGAAGATTAGTAATCCAGATTAAAGAAACAATCAAAGAGTGAAGGTGGTGACACCAGTTTCGGGACATACTGTAGCCGACGAAGAAATGCCTGCTTACCGGAATGTGACTTTTCCATGGCGAAACTGTTCTCCGAAGTGGTGGACTCTGGTGAAGGAACTCGCAGAAGCCATTGATCGATCTTTTGAGCCTTGGTGTCTGTGAACGCTGGAAACCTCTTCCTGGCACCCCCAAGTCGTCGAATACGTTTCTGACGTTTTGGAACTGAGCGCTGCCTAGACACCTTGGCACGATTGAGACGGCGTTTTCGAAGAATGTGATATTTTTTCCCCCGGAGTGATTCGACTGTTCGGTTAGTCTCATATTGCTCATTATAAGCGGCAGCACGAGCTTCCCAAGACAGAGCTCGGTGTGCATGCAGCCAGGGGAGAAGATTATCTTCCTCCCATTCTGACCAGCCAAGTGAGTTGTGTTGAGACATCTTAGGGAGAAAGGAGCGGTGGTGAATAAAAATAAGGCTTGTGAGATTTCTGCAGAAATTTGAAACGTACGGAAAGTGGGCGTGGTGAGCTTTAAACTTTTGGCTGAAATGATTGTCGAAGCGACAGATTCTAGAGGTAAGCCTACAAAAATTAGTTGACTGATTCCTGGGAATCACTGGTTATGCCTGGAAATTGCCGGTGAAGTGATAAGCCAATGTAACCATTGAGTAACATGGTCTGACTGAGCTGATCCGTGGTACTGTCTTGCAACTTCTAGTCCTCAAATAATTACGGCGTTTCTAATGTTATCCAACGATGCTCAACTAGAAGGCAATTATTTATTTCCCGAAAAGTTCACCGAAACAGCGAATGCAACAGCTGAGAGCTTGGAAAAATGTCTTTGAATCACACAAAGCCATACCTCGCTCATAACGCCACCTGGCGTCACGACTAAACATTGGGATTCGGCTATCATGCCATGGTGATTAGCTCCTTCCTTGATCAATGTCAGCCAATTTCCCTATAGTATCTGTTCGTCAATAGTAGTGAATGGTAGACTGATCAAGTCTACGTGACGCCATTGTTGCAGGTGTATTGATTTCAAGAGAATAAATGGAAGTTGGTTGCCAGCTAGACGCTAAGATGGGTGAAGACTAATTCGATCAGATCTCCGGATATGGTGATCAGTGGGGCTGGATTTCTCCGCCACCTCAGATCTTGCGTCCGCTCCGGGCTCGGCCGTGTATTTAGTATGCCCCTGACTTTTCAACTTTTTCCCTCCATTATAAATTCCAATCTAACGAAAAAGATAAGAAAAAGGTGGAATTATCTGCCCTGATATCCAAATTCCAAATATGCCTTCTCGTCGAAGACTGTCACTTGTCGATGGACGGCACACCTTCCGAAGCAGACTGAAACGTGCACTATCTCTGTCATCCTCCGAATCGAGCAACGAAGCCAGGAACCAAAGACCTGAAATAAATCGTACCGCCGGGCATGCGATGTCTTCCGACAACAATGGAGCTGTCAGACGCAGAAAAGTCGGAATTGAAGCTGATAATCAGGAGGGTTACCATTGGCGACCGTGGGAGATAAAGTCTGACAATGAGATGAGTCGCCCCAAGACTACATCAGAGGGCGAGCCCGAAGAGTCCACACAACATAGCATTATTGCACTGAGATGTGTATCAGAGTGAGTACGAAGACTGAAAATAGTTGTTCTTTTACTAATATGTTGATCAAGTCTGGATAGCCGAATGAAGTCAGTAGTACATTATACGATAAAGAGGGTGGAAAGAGTGCTGATTTTTACTCTACAGATCTTTAGCAGATTCTGTTAACCGACAGGTTGCTTGGAATGAGACGATCCGGCATGATCTGCAAGATGTCCTGAGCCGGCTCGCCACCATGGAGACTCGAATGAAAGATACGATGGTCCAGAAAAAGTCTGCAGGGTCGAGAAGAGATCAGCCAATAGTGAGATAATACCTTTCGAGCAACCATCAAGTCCCAAGTCTTCAGAATGTGTATAATGGCTGTGGCGCTTTGATTTCGGGATACTCATCTTCCGTGGCCGACCATGCCATCAAAGAGGAAGAAGTCAATTTCGGCTGGCTACTAGGGGAAGACTTCTTCATTCCCGATGACTATTAGACGAATTTGAAATGTAGCGTGATGGTTCTCCCTATCTCCAATTACTGCTTGCCAAAGTCTAGATATGTTCGCAATCGATAAAGTGTAATTGCTCCGATCTCGGACGTGATGTCATTGCTATCCTTTCGATTATTGACCGTCCCCTGTCGCATCTTGATTGGTTATGGGGCTTTGGTTAAATGAAAATCCTATAGGTCTCACCGTGGAATGTTCTAGAATTGAAAACACGCACAAGCCCATTCAATTGTATCCTCCACAATGCGACCCGTTCTAGAACAATATTTATTTTCGGAATGGGACGCGAAATTCGGAGAGAAAAAGATCTTGGTTCCACGATTAGATCGTTCCAATCAGACTGAAGTGGGAACTTAAATCGCGGTCTACTAGCTTTGCGTGGTTTAATTGAATGCTTCATGGTGTCATGCAAAAAGAATTTAAGACAGGGAAGCTGAGAGATGGACGGAGAGGGTTTCCCGGGAAACGAAAAGGTCACGCCCGAACCGTATGAAGCCACGGAGCCATGGAATTGAAGTAGGACAAAAGTACTACTTAGAATGCCCTCCAATCGGCACTATTCGGTAGTGAAAAAAGACGCACTTTGAGTTTATTGACAAAATGAACCTGAAGTTATCATTCATACTATGGTAGAAATGAGGCCGCAGCAAATGAATGGATAATCTGAAAGGACATGCGAAGACTTCCTTGTATGGTTACGATATCCTCCCCCGGGAGATCGTCGATCGATCTTAAACAAATGACCCATACTCATTGGTCGAGGTTAGGGCTTGTGGGTCAAACAGCGGCGGGTTGCTTGATCCGGAAAACCCGGGAAGCGCGCTAGGGTCGGTGGGTTCCGAAGGACCACCGGTGGTGGCCCAATTGCCATGGAACACCTCGGTGCTAGGCAAGAAGGATGCCAGTCGTTTGTTCTGAAGACTATCGATCAAATTCGCGAAACGAGACGCAGCGGAGATCAGTTCTCCGTGTGTCTGGTGTAAGACTGGCTGTATATCGTCCCATGCCACCTGGTCCTGCAACGTGGTGTTTGTAGACTCCAGCTGC